CAAGTTCCTATCAAGGCGACGGGAACACAGCCCCGCTCACACCCTGGTGGTTGGCGCCCCCCGTTCCCGTTCTTCTGCAGAAGCCCAGGACCCCTCCCCCAGGGCGGCTCGCAGTCCTCAGGGCGGCACCCTGCTGCGGCTCCCTCTGCCCGGCAAAGCGGTGCAGCTGCTCTTCTCTGATTCTCCCAGAACTCTGCCTCCAGCTCTCAGTCCGGCTCTCAGGGCACAGGGGCTGGTTTTTCGGCAACGACGTTACCAGTTGGTTGGGTAACAGACTTGCCCCCGAGTGAGAAGCACCACCATGGAGACATAGTCCAGTGAATGAGCGAGAAAGGAAGGTGACTGAATCCCCAGCAGTGGTCTATAGATGCTCACACATCATTCTCTCTGAGTCCAGAATCCTCCGGTGAGAGGTTGGGCTGGATGGTTACCCGGACTTTCCGCTGCTGGAAGCCTCCGAGAGGTCCGCTCTGTCGGCAGAGTCCTGCCTTCCCCTTTACCAGAGGTTGGGGCAAACGGAGTCATGATGAAAATGCTTGGATTCGAGCATTGCACTGTGTCATCCAAGAAGAAGGTAGTGAGGCGGTCCCGTTGGCCCAGCCGTGTCCTAGGGTCTTTGCTGGGTGCAGGAGGGAGGGAGGCAACCATTCAAGGAAGTCAGGAACAGGGTGGAGTGGAAGGGCCCCAGACTGACTGGCCCACGCTTCCAGTTACCAGCTGCGTGACTTTGCACAAAGGGCTCAATGTCTGTCAGCCACAGGTTCCTCGTGTAAAGAAAGGATCTAGAAAGGCTCCCATACCACGCAACAACTCAGTAAACACCTTTCCTCCATCTCATTTACGTCTCCGACTGAGCCTTAAGTATGTGATGGCCTTTTGCTTTGAGCCAAAAGCCAGAAACTGTGTCCAACTGAGGAAGAGCAGGAGATGGAGCCCAGTGAGGAGGATGAATTTTGCCTCCTGGATCCCCGCGGGGGGCAGGGTACAGAGCAGAGCGTCTGGCAGAGGAGAAGTGTTCCCGGAGCCCTGGTGGAGCTTAGCCTTAAGAGCACGCCCTCCCAAGCGTGCTTTGCTGGCTCCCACCACTAGGTCGCAGGCGTTCACTCTCCTCTGGCAGGAGCCTCTGCAAAGCCTCCACCAACAGCGACTGCCGCCTGAGAGTACCCCCCAGCCACCTCAGCCCTCTGCGCCTGAATGGCGGCTGGCTTTTCCAGATCCTTTCCTGGATAATAATTAGATCATGGAAGAAGAAAGTTGGAGGGTGGTGAATGCCGGAGGGCAGCTCTATCACGTGGTCACACGCGTGGTTGCAGTATCTGAGAACAGACCATGTGTGTGTGATTATTATGTGTCATGTTGTGTCACGTACATATCTGTGTGTGTGTGTGTGTGCGCGCCCCCAACTTCTCCCAAAATGTATTTCAGGAGCCTGAGTAATAGTGTAATAGTCACATTCCAGCTAATTCCTTGCTGTTTGACATTCCATCCATGGTGAACCCAAATCAACCAACGTAGCCACCTATCTAGAGGCGATGATGGATGTTTATTGGCTCTACCCCCAAACAGTACAACACCTGCTCTCCAAAGCAGATCTAAATTCTGGCCTTTGGCTAATGTTCCCTGAGAGGGGTGTCTTATGCCTTTCATTTCACCAGGACGTGTGACCCACCAGTGACCCACCAGTGCCCCCCCCCGTGGATCTGCCAGGCAGAACAGGGGCCACACCTGCTGACAAGTCCACACATATAACCCGGAAGCACAGGACGCCCCCTGAGCCCTCCAGTGATCTGTGTGCAGCTGCTTCGGAAACTTGAGATGAATAACAAGTGGTGTTTGCCCTTCTAATTACTTACACATCCTCGTAAATGTGTTGTTGACGCTAAGTCGTACCAAATGTCTCCTTCCCAAAGGCAGGGAGAAAGGGGTAAGGCTCTCTGACACTTTGAAGAGCTGCAGAGAATATTCAAAGTGAATTTTAAAAGGTTCCTTTTACGGGAACCACCTTTTCTTTGCGATGGCAACTTGGCAGTCTTGCGAGTCTGGGTCTCAACTCTTGGGGCTGGAGTCTGAGCACCTGGGGGCTGCCTCTGCCCCAGGTAAAAGCCAAAGGATGGGTTTCCTTCAGCCTGCTCCCTCTGGCAGCACCTTAAAAAACTCCTGGGGCTAAGACTGGTCTGAGAATGTCATTTGTCATTTGAAAAGACTTTTTTTCCCTATATAAATATTCCAAAAACCTCTATACCAGGCCTGAACTTTAATCAGCTGGGAAGGTACTGCAGATGGAGGGTTAATCCATCACGGTGTCCAAGAAGAGACGTGAGTCGTGGCCTTAAATTCTTCCCAGACGGTGCAGGACAATGAGATGAGCATCTTCTGTGGAAAGGGGGAAAAAAGATGCTACACCTTTAAAACTTAGATTCTCTTTTCAATGCTCAGGAGTTGTTAGAGGGGGTCAGAGCAAGTTTCTTGAAGCTTAAAGATCAATTAATTTAAGAAAAAAAAAGATTTCAAGTGTCATAAAACCTTAGTTACAACGACCAGTTTCCCTTTTTCTCGCCTCCTCCCTCCCCCTCCCATTCCCCAAAGCAAGAGGCAGGCGCAGGAGCGTGAAATGACGCGAGCTAAATTCCTCTGTTTGTGCAGAAAACGTATTTGCTCGCTGACAGAGACACACAACCCAGAGACAACCACACACACATACACACAAAGTTAGAACACAGCTTTCCATGGCCGTCATTTGCATCGCAGAGTCCTCTTTCCAATAATCTTTCACTAGATTTACGTGGACTTCAGATCTTCTCCACAACGTGGTGTTGAGTCATATGGGGGCGGGGGCTGCAGCATCTAACAAAGCAAGATTATTCTCTGACTTTTTGTCATCGCCACATTTAAAACAAGAAGAACGAAGGGAAGGAAAGTCTTGGGGATAGGAGAGAAGTTCCCCGGGTTCCAGTGTTCATATGTCCAGGGAGCAGGTGGATCTGGGCTTCGGCTGTGTGCCAGAAAGGGCTTGCTTCTGGAAGCCTGCCCTGTAGGCACAGCAGCTCAGCCCTTAATGCACCGAGCAGCTTTCGGTGCTGGGTTCCAGGAGGCTTCCTATGAGGAGATCAAATCAGTGGAATCCAAGGATTGAACTGAATCCCTCAACTGCACAATTTGGGGATTTTTTTTCCCCAGAAAAGATCTTCTAGAGGAGGTCTTTTTAGTGGGGTTTAATTACAGGTGCTCCTGCAACCCCTGGCCTCCCAATGATGTGCTGTTCACAGTGGCCTCCCCGAATGATCATTCTGAGACTAAATCCAAAATGCCCTCCTCAGAGTTGTCAGCGCATCCCTCTTCTAGAACATTATGAGTCTCAGTGGGTGTTGCGCGCGTGGTGCGTGTTCTAATGTCCTGCCTAATTATAAACAAGATAGGGTGAAGTTTCCTGGCCAGGAAGAACGAGTTTGTGTGTGTGTGTGTGGAAGAAGCTCCTTCCCAAGGCTCAACATCTTAGAGACATTTGCAAAACATTTCTCTTGCAGGAGCCTCTTGCAAGCAGTATTCTTAGGCACGTTGGCTTCTCCATAGGTGGGAGAGAACTCTGTTCCCAGTCCTCAGCTTAAGTAAACCTCCTGGTGATGCCATTTCAAACAGCTGAGTATGCCTCTTTAGATAAGAGGCTGGAGGTATTTGCATATGGGGAGAGGGTGGTGGTCGCTTTTTTTGCCCCCGCCCCTCTCCCTGCTGTTTGGACTTCCCCCTTACAACAGAAAAAGGAAAAGAAAATTCCTGTCTGTAGGGCCCTCCTAAGGAATGGGCACCTGAGCCTGAGAAAGGCTTCCGGCCACGGACAACACGAGTTCACTGGCTGTCATCCGTGGTGGTGCGTTTCCATCACGCACTGGCTTAAGTTGTGACCTAAGGAAAGACCCCTCCCCTCCCCCACGTACTCCTCCCCCTTTCCCTTCCCCACACCCACCAGCTGCTACTACTGCTTAATTCAAGAAACAGCCTACGTCTCCATAGACCTGGAAACCTATGAAGGCTGGGAAGGGGCAGCCACTGACCCCCACACAGGAAAAAAAAACAAACAACACAGGGAAAGCAAGCATGACAGAAGGGTTAGGGTGATGTCCGGGCAGTCTGTCCCGGGTTAACAAATTATTCCTGTCTCACTAATACTCCGAACACAGGATCCAGAGCTGATTTTTCCCCATCCCGCCCCCCCCATCGCTTCTGGATGGCGTCTGCCCTGAAGCCCACTGCCGCAAGCAGCACCCAGCGAGGGGGTCTTCCCGGGGGCGGGGCTCCCCACTGCGCCCCTCAGTAACGGGGGCGCGTGTCGCTGCTGAGAGCCAAGCCTGCTGCAGTCTAGCAGCGCGCTCCAGAAGGCGCAGCTTTCCTCACCAAGCATTCGGCTTCTGCTTCCGCTCCCTCCGCCAGACCACGGGGAGCAGGAGCCGAGGGTCGTTCGCTTGGGAGAGGCTGGAAAAGGGCGCCAGGGCTACAAAGTTTGGTGAATCAGAGACATCTGAGAATAATAAACCAGTGGCGTTTGGGGGTGAGATTCTGAATTGACTTGAAAGATCCTTGTATTAAGTGCAAAAAAATGTCTCTTGTTCATGGGAAAACCAGTCTGGCAGTGCCTTTTAAAAAGCTCAGCCTTATAAAGGCTGAGCTGTGATGGTCAGCCCTCAGCCCACCTTTCACTTGCTTCAAAGTGGCTGGATTGCACTGCAAACCCCTCTAAAACTAATACAAAGGGTCTCGCTTTTTTCAGTCCTTCCAGGTGGGGTACATCCCCCTGATAAGCTGCGTTTGCCCTTCTTGATGTTTCAAAATCAGCTGCTACTTTGCTCCTGAATTCCTGAATTTTCCCTCTGGCCAGCACATCCCCCTACACACACAGACACTCACAGACACACACACACACACACACACACACAGGGAAGAAAAAATTAACTGTTGCTTCCCTTTCAACACAGGCAACAATTCATTTAGGTTCCACCAGTCTGTACAAACTGTAAATGCTATTTTATTTTAAACATTTTTAGTTTACAAAAAAAAATCAATGAGTGGTACCTTTTTTTTTTTTAACACTCTCAGATTCCTGAATATGGGCAGATCTTCAAAGGGAGGAAGGAGTTCTCATATGAAATTTAAGACAGACTGTCCTGAAGGTTGTGGGGTGGGGTTCTGTTGTGTTTGATCTCTTTTTGTTTGTTTGTTTGTTTTTAAGACACAATAAAGCTAAAATGGCAAGTCTCTGGGAGAGATCCCCTTGGAGTTTCAGTCAAGGAGCACAGCAGAGCACAGACAGGGGACCCAGCCGGGCGCTCGCCGGCCGCCCCGGCTGCCCAGGCGTATTTGGTAGCGCACGGGTTGAGAGCCGCTGGGGCAGTCACACCTCGCATTCCCTGGCGGGCTGCTGGTGGCAGGTGCACGAGCCGTACTCGTTGATGATGACCAGGGCGCCCTCGATGTGGTTCGGTTTGTAATCAACGTAGTACTCCTGGGCAGACATGGCAGCCATCTGATGCATGGTCTGTTTCTGCTTCTGCTTCCTGCGCTGCGTGACAAAGCACTGTCTGAGCTGCCTGAGGCTGGCTGGGAAACACTTCCAGGAGACGTAGAGCACCAGGACCACGATGAGGAAGGAGAAGATGAGGGCCATGGTGCCGGTGACCACCTTGTGGATCTGCACGGCGTTCTCGGCGTGCTCGCCGCCGGGGAGCGCCACGGTAGCCGGCTCGGGCGAGCC